TATAGATGAAACAAACTATTGAAAACATTCTGAGGATTATTTTACATTAAATTTCTGCCAGTTCTCTTTCACTTAAATCTTACACACTGGACCTTTAACACAGAGGAGTCGGGATGTATAGTCTATACTCCAGCCAGCCACTAGGTGGTGATTGAGACACTTTGGGGAGCGCTCATTTTGTCCATCTTTGTGCGAGTCACATGTACTAAAGTGCATTTGAGTGGTGCTTAGCTTCAAAACGAAAGTGAACAAATTTACAACTGAAAAAAGTGAATCCCTTAAAGGCAGCTAACAGCAGAAACACACATCTGAGCATTTAGCAGATAAACACAATTCATATTACACATAGAAACATACAGCCAATGTAATAAATGAATGTATGGAATAATTAGGCCAAAGACAAACAACTGATGATGTTACTGTTGTCTGAGGAACATGTAAACACTTTCAAAGCTTGTTTCCACTGCCCTCAAGTGGCCAATAAAATCAGTTTTTGCAGGTTTAAAGAGAAAATTCACAACCCACAAAGAATTACGTTGTACACGTGTAGAATGATATAACTGTCACTCATCACTTGTGGGTGATGAGTGACAGTTATATATATGCTAAGGGGTTAAGGCTGAAAATGAGAGGTTTGAAAACTTACAGGCGGGGTTGATAAGTATTATTCACTATAGATTCTCTGGTTAACTGTACACTGTGATCTCATGGGAGTTTGTAATGTGTCGCACTGTTATTGACTCATTAGGGAAATTGAACAGTGGTAAACAGGCACCTCGTGTTTCATTGTATAATATTGGAGTGCTCCAGTAAGAAGCCTTGTGGGAATAGCGGGTAAATCTATTGTCACATGTTCTGTGCAGTCTCCTGTCATCATATCTCTGTATAAACATCAAGCTCTGTTCTGCTCTAGTTCTACAGCCTCCAGATTCCTCCTCCTGTCTTTGAGTTCATTCAGAGCAGGGGAGGCACGTAAAGGGCGAGGAAAAGAGAGTGAATAAGGGAGATAAGAGAAGGTTTCAGTGTTTCGTCTCTCTCCGAGTGTCGGACAGCAGCAGGGGGAGGATCACTGGAGAGGAACCGAGCGAGGGTGAGAGAGGGGAGACAGCACATGGATGAAGGCCCGAGTGATGTAGAGAGCTGAGGGAGGGAGGGGGGGTCACACTCCAGTACACTGCAGATTGACAGTGTTCGGCTGGGTTGTCACATCAGGAGGATGTCTTAAGTCACAAGCAGGAGGTCACATGACTGCTCGGAGTGAGGTACAGAACACACACACACACACACACACACACACACACACACACACACAGATGTCAGAACAGCTGAAGAACGTAGTCCCAGCAGTCTGACAGTGCTTCAAGCACAATCAACATTTTCAACAAGCCTTGACGTGTGGGAGGAGTTGGGGGTTAAAGACACATTTACAGCTGCAATCAATTATAGTAAGAGATTAATCATATTATTGCTCTTGGGAAACAACAAATACATATTTTTCTTCTTCATAGGATTCGGTATTAGAAACTTAGAAATATACAGCAGAATTATAAAATGTGATACCGTGTAATATCTTTTTTAGTTGTTTTTCAATGGATTGAAGATGTTGCTAATTATTTCTGTTGTTCTTTGTGTTTTTATAATTACAGATCAGATCAAGTTTTTTTTTTCTCATATCCAAAGGGACATTGAGTAAACATCTTGTGTGTATCAGTCTAGCTGTCTTGTTGCAAGGTAGGTGAAGCAGATGCGCTGAAACTTTATTTAAATAGCACAATTCAAAGAAATCAAATGCAATTCAAAGTCCTTTGCCGGTTATTTACAAAATATAGTCTGGACTATATTTACTGTTGCTAATCCTGTATCTAAATACAAACTCTGCTTCTGGTTTGTTTTCTTCTTTTCAACTGAACTTACCTCTTACTTTACCTGCATCCATCTGAGTCTCACTAAGTTGTCACTTATTTCAACTTGGAACATATTGAGATAAAGAGTAAATCAACGTCTTTACACCACAACATATAAAACGCCTAAACTCCAGATTTTACATCACAACAAAAACTAGGATGCCTTGTGTCAGGGTCAACAACACTAATTGGAAACATGAAGTAACTGTAAAAATAAAATTGAAGGGAGGCGTCTCAGAAGGGACGACTGTCCGAGACAATGACATGAAAAACTTTTTACACTTGATCTGTAAATGAGCCGCCACACTTCTTCTAGTAGCTTTGATTCTCTGGAGGAGATGATTTGAGAGCTAAACTTTACAACTTCCTATATCCAATTACCACACATCAGACTGTGGGCAAGATGGTAACCTTTAACAGCAATGACACAGACATGACACAGAGAGGACGCCAACACTGGTGTTATGTGCAGACAGAAAGAATGAGAGAGAGAGAGAGGGACTTGACCATTTATTTCTTTACAGCAAAACAAGGAGAGCATGTTTTTCAGTTTTAATAACATGGAAACAGGAACACAACAAACATATTATGACAAACATGTCATGATGATAATGATAATAATAATTTTAAAGAAAAAACATCAGTTGTCTTTAAGCTTGAATCATAAAAAGGTTTAACATGGTTTAGTACAGTAGTTTTAGTATTACATTAAAAATGTTAACAATTACACAAGGAATACGACCTGCTTCTTCAGTTACTGTCCACTAGATGTCGCTCTAATCCAATGGTTTAAACTCTCCAGTGGGAAAACTGTGAAACATTTAAGAGGAACTTCAGTTGTCAAATGAGTAACAACTTTATGTGCTTTCATTTACAAAAAGCGGACATGGTGTAATAAGCACCATGACTCATAATAATAATAATAATTCACTGTGGGGGAGGTGGAGATGTGCTCAACACAAAAACAAGTCCCGATAGATCTGGATTACTTAACAACTCTTCTGCACCTGGTCTGGTCACTGAATCAGACAAATGTTAATTTACATGAGCAGCTTTCAACTCCACAAAGCAGACTAAACTAAAATGTTGGTTTTTCGGTGATCAAATCTGTTTTCTGCTTCGTTTGAGCTCATTTAAATTCTGATTATTTTATACCAACATTTCAAATCAAATATCCAGATGTTTGAAATGACTTTCACTTTGAGCACATTGTATCATACCCTTGAATCAGCACAGACATAATCATGTTTAATGTACAACTGTATGAACAGCAATTTCACTACAACAGCACTCTGACTGGTGTTGATTACTTCCTGTATCATAATGATCCACTTTGTTTGTGAGCTGCAGCTGTGTCGCTAAATGTTTATGTTCTCTCAAAGCTAGTTTGTTTGTGAGCAGATGGATTCAGATGGATCTTAATCAGCAGTTGCTCTTTTGGACGCTCTTTGTGAATCAAGCTAAATTCAACATGAGATAACGGGACAATGTGACATCCTGTGCTGCGGTGATGAGCAGTGATGTCAGCGGTGTGTGTGGTGAAATATGAATTCAGCCCCCGCTGCCCTTCAAGACCAGTTCCAAGAGCTGTTTGGTGTTAATGTGAAATCGATACTGGGTTGAGACTTATTGTGTCTGAGGAGGAGTGAGGCCTCTTTACGATTTTGGAGACAGCACAGATCAGTCAGAGCGACTTTATCTATCCTTTAAAGGTGCTTCATTCTTATTTTAGTGCAGGGGTGAGACCCCGGGCAAACACTACCTCTCCTCTCTGCTGAATCCAAACTCTGAATTTGATTGTTCCTGTCGAACACAGAGCAGCTTTGCCTCAAACTAAGTCCTCAAACTCTCAACCTAAACACAGGACGCCTGAGGTTAATTCTGATTCCTGCAAGGCCCAAAAGACAAAAAGAACAAAAATGTCTCGACGGGCAAATATGACAACTAATGTCACAGACCCTTTCCCTCTGACCTTTGACCATGCAGCCTAACTGCCTGAGTTCTGAAATAAAACCACAGCCAGCAAATATTTTAGCAACACTTTAATTAGAATGCACATATCAACTCATGAATAACGCATGCAGCACAAAAGGTAACAAGTGATCAATAAATCTAAAGTCAAACCACAAAACCATAATAACGCTATTTGTGGACAAAAGATTATTTTCTAACGTTGCTTACAGCTTTGACCTAGCAAGTAGCCTCGTACTGGAGACACAACATGACAATTGTATAGCTGCATAGGGATTTTTGGCTGCAATACCACTAATGGCCACAGAATAAAAATTTGCTGTAAGGCTGAGCAGTGTTCCAGCGTCCAGTTCTTTTAAAATACATCTACGGTCTCCTGCAGGCTCCGTCTCTTACTCCACTGACCTTTTCCCCCCATTTACAAAGATTTGTCCAGGTTTCAGCCAAAACTTGCATTTAGCTGCACATTGTCTCAACTCAGCTACAAACTGTGCCCCCGTCTGGTCCGGTTCAATGTTTCCCCCAATGTGACCCTGACCCACCGCCACTGTCTCGTTTCATCTTTGAGTTTCAGCATTTCCATTTCAGCCTTTGCTTTTTAAATTTCAAATTGTCCATCATCACTTTACTTTTTTTTACTTTTCTTAACATTTTACATTCTAAACTTGCTTTTTAACTTCAATTACAGCTTTAATATCACGTCCAAGAACTATGGCCACATAATCTACACTTTTGAGAATAAAGTCACAATATTACGAAAAAAAAGTTGTGATTTTTTTCTCATTGAAGCGCAACTTCATTCTCCTAATGATTGTGACTTTGGATTACAACTATATTCTCATAACATTCCAACTTTATTCTTGTAATATTGTTATAACTCTGCCATCGATTATTCCTTCCGAGTAAATTAGGATGTATATATATATATATATATATATATATATATATATATATATTTACATTTGAGCTCTTTTGAATCTGTTTGACCTTTAATTTAAATTATGACTGAAATGTTCTTCCATACTTTACTTTAGTTTTAAAGTATGAAGTTGAGGTTTCCATTGAACAGTTAAACTGTGTGTAGTCCGTCCTTCTCCTCCTCCCACTCAGCCTGGGCGATATAAACACGACAGCACCGTGAGGAGGAAACTCCCCAAACTGTGCGTCCTCGTTAGGGAGCCTACAGACACACCGCTGGGATTAAACAGTGATAAGACCGAGAGATCATGGCTCACACTTTACCTTTCCCGGAGATAGTGGAGCTGAACGTGGGCGGGCAGGTGTATGTGACCCGGCTGGAGACTCTCACCGCGGCGCCCAACTCTCTGCTCAGGGCCAAGTTCACCAGCAGCTCCCCGGGCGAGCTGCCCAAAGACAGCAAGGGCCGCTTCTTCATCGACCGGGACGGCTTTCTGTTCCGGTACATCTTGGATTACTTGCGGGACTCGGAGCTCTCCCTGCCCGAGTTTTTCAAAGAGCGGAGGCGGCTGCAGAAGGAAGCGGACTTCTTCCAGCTGCCGGAGCTGTCCCGGCTCCTGGCGGCCGGTAAAGACGGCTCGTACACGGAGGACAGCGGAGAGCCGGAGGAGGCTGAGCTCAGTAGCCCGGTCACCTCCTCCTCCGATAGGACGCCGCGCTCCCCCGGGGCCGACTCCGGATACATCACCGTCGGGTACAGAGGCAGCTACACCATCGGCAGAGACATCCAGGCGGACGCCAAGTTCCGCAGGGTGGCCAGAATAACCGTGTGCAGTAAGATATCTCTGGCCAAAGAGGTGTTTGGAGAGACCCTGAACGAGAGCCGGGACCCGGACCGACCCCCGGACAAATACACCTCCAGGTACTACCTGAAGTACAACTTTCTGGAGCAGGCGTTCGACCGGCTGGCCGAGGCTGGCTTCCACATGGTGGCCTGCAACTCCACCGGGACCTGCTCCTATGGCAGCAATGACCCGGGGGAAGACAAACTGTGGACCAGCTACACTGAATATGTTTTCAGCCGGTGAACTGAGCAAAAGGATATTAAACTGGTGTCATCTACCATCAACAGTAGATTTTACATGAATTAGTCCATAACAACACAAACTGACAGATTCAGTCTCTTCTGGTTTTGTACACAGGAAAAAGTTTCCCAACTTAAGAACATACTTCTGTGGTAACACACAAGTAAACTATGTTTGTTTAAAGTAAAACAAACATACAAACACACATTTTTTAGTTGAAAAAACTTCTGTGTTACCAATTTAAGTCATATTTTTGAGTTGGTAAAACAATTAGTCAGTCAACTGTGGGCTCATGTTGCAGCCAGACTTCACTTTTCTGCCATTTTCTCTTTCTCTCTGCAAAAAGACTTTCTCCGAATCCAAATATAAATCTCATTGAGTAGTGAGAAGAAAAACGTGACGTCGTTGATTTGTCGCTAGATCATTATTATGGGTTTATGGCCTCGTATCCTTCATGGCTTTCACAGACTCTGCTCTCTTCCATGTAAAAGATGGTTTCTGTTGATCCTCACTGAGCTGTGTGTACATTGTCACATTATTGTGAGGCTGCAGATGTTCTGAACACATTATCCAGATCACACATGTTCTATACATAGCATTCATTTTGGCCCGCAGCTCCTTCTATCCTCCTCATAACGCTCAAGTCTTTCATTTGTAGGAGCTGATGCATAGGAACGACATTACAATGATATATTTTTTATATATTTTCTTGCTTCACTTGAATATCGACCTCACATCATCATTGCTTTTAAGATTTTACGATGGGACTTTGTGTCATCTATGAGCTGTTGCCGTTTCTTTTTTTTTTCTTAAACTATAAAGCTACAGTAAATAAAGTGTGACGTGTAACACTATCCACCTCATTGTCGCCTTGAGTTCAGTTCAACTTTTTAAGATCTATGTCTTTTCCAAATACACTGACACTTCTTTTCTCACAAGTTAGCATAGAAAATGAATTCAGGGATATTTAATTGAGACATTCAGATGTTTACAAGGCTCAAGCATCAGCTGCACTTGACCTCAACCAAGGATCCTTATATTGGCGTGCACTCATTAGCGATCAAATCTTACTTCTATACCGCTCCACCAAATAACTTAAGTACAGGATATAATGCCACCAAAATGACTTTAATAAGAATTTGACCCCCGAACGAAGTCACATTATTTAGTTTCTGACTTTAAAGGGAGAGATGATGTTATAAATGTCTCGAGGAGGAGCAGCATAAACTTTGCACAACAGCTACATGATATCAGACACAATCTGACCCCAAGTCAGATGTTTTCTAGTAAAGGCTACAGCATCCATCATCCCACGTATGTCCCACAGAAAGGAGAGGAGTTGTTAAAATTCCAAACTCCATAGTGAATTTGCGGGTTTCTGCATATTGAGCATAATTTGAAACAGAGGAAAAGTAAGTCTGTGCAGTCGAGTTTCTCATCCTAGAGGTTTCTCATACAAAGTAATGATTAGTTAAAGTTATATTCCGCTGCTGTTTCAAGAGAATAACTTCTCAATTTGCATGAGGTCTTACCCAGTAAAGCTAAAATTAAAGTAATGCTGACAAACTGTTGCCAAAAAGGGAAACTTTGTTGTCTATCTGTCCGAGCAGAGCAGAGCAGTGTCCTTCTCTGCAACAGAAGAGCTCTGTTATCTCTCCTGGGCAGGATGCAGGGAGGGGGGGGGGGGGGGTCTCTCTGGCTGACAAGTACAGTAATCAAATGTCTGCTCCCTTGTGGGTTTCTGGGGCAAACATCCATGATATCCCAGGATAACATTTAACACAAAAAAGTATTTGTGTGGGCTGTGTGAACTTGAATAGAAGAAAGAAAAAAGCAGAATGAATCAGTTATTTGTTCGATGTTCAAAGCACTTCAGCTGGCTCTGTAAAATACATTAGTGTGGATTTGTTTCCTAGCTCTCCACATGCAGCTACAACAACATCAAGATGCATGAATATGCAGGCATACATGTGAATGTGTTCACGCTCCTCTTGACAACCCAACCTCCCACGCACCCCTCTGCTACCAAGGAGCTTCAAGAGCTTCAAAGATAGACATGTCTGCACAGGAGACCTGGTATCTGCTGTCAGCTGATGCTGCCATCTGGACAGGAAAAGGAAGGATCGACCGCAACTCTTCCTCCAGTGTGATCTCCAGAAAAAGGACATTTAACTCGCTGTACTTGGCCAAAACCCAATCACTGACTCTCGGCCCATTACGCATTTGTCCACATCATACATTTTACTTTGCAGATAGTCTATTATTGTGAGAAAGGGCGAAGATGCCCTCGAGTACCTTCCATCATCTACATTAGACCGAGACCGCATGAGATGAAGGGAACAATTGTTGCTGAAAAGACGCATAAAACACCTAATTAAATTTGAATGTCCTTTTTATGTTCCTCTGAGGTGATGATTAGTTTATCTGCCAGGCAGCTATTTCCAATACAGGCCTTAGTGTGTGTGCATGTGTCCTCAGCGATAAAACACCTCCCAGAACACATTTCACTTGGATGTTTGCTTTTTTTCTGTAAGAACACTCTGTCAGCCAAATGCTAAAAATGTGCACACACACACACACACACAGGAACACACAGAGCGCAGCAGGGAGATAGATAAAAAGAGCCAAATTAACCAATTTGCAGAGTGGGAGATAACACAGACGTGCTGGCTTTCTTCATATCAGCCTCCGCATGCTAAATCTTTCACACTCTCTCTTACAGTCTTACTGTGACCTCCATGTCTTCAATGCTGTTCATTTTATTTTCATTTTATCTTATCACCCTCTCCTCTGTTATAGCTAAAGTATATCACACTGATCACAGAGAGAACAACACATGAATAATTGATTCAAGCTGTGTTTCGCTTTGTTCAGATCAGGCGTGAGGGCAGAAAATAAAAACAGGATGAGCAGTTAAATGTTAGAATATTCTCCCCTCATCTCCATGTCGTCTAAACCGTCCCGTTAACAGCAGAGCTGCTTCACAGTGAGTAATGACGGCGGTGCTGCATTTGCATTTATCAGTGTTCTGCAGGATCTTCCAAGTACTTAAGCACATGAAAGCATGAAAAACGAGGAAACCCTCTGAGACTTTTGTGTGGTTTAAAAACTTTCCCAAACTTGAAAAATTACTTTTTACTATGGATTTAACAAAAAAAACCCACTATAGGTCATGAAGTGAGGATATGATTTTCCCATGACCTTTTCAGAGGGACGAAAGAGGTTTATTTATTCGGCTCTGCAACATGTACTGCAGGCACTGGAGCCCATACTGTTAATAGCTAACCAGCACTTCAACAGCAAAATATTTCCCAATCTTTAAGTCACTCTATTTAAACCAGGATCTATTTCACCATGAAACAATGAAATCTTAATTTGCAGAAAAGATATATCATATTCATGTATGTGAACATAGTCCATTTGCCTGCAGGCCATAAATGCATTTCTTATATTAAGAATGCACAATAAATGACCCAATCAATTTTGAAATGTGCTTATTGGACTTAGACCAGAAGATAAATTCCACTCCCATATGTTTCTGCCAGTTAGCTTAGCTTTGCAAGAAGTCTAGAAACAAAAGGACTTATTTTGCCTAGAGCTCAATCTGAGTATAACTTGTTTTTAGACTTCAGTATCTAATAAACAAATGAGGAATAGTGTGTTGGTTACTTTCTATTGGTGAGGCTACCCACAGACATGAGAGTGGTATCAAGTCTTCTCAACCGCGGCCAAGAAGCACAGTACAAAACTACATCTGCATCCAAACTCAAAGGCCGCGGCCAGTCCAGGATTCACACTATTGCTAACCAGTGAACCACCATCTTTAGTGTTTTCAGTCGTTTTTATAAACCCCTTTTTTAAATTTAAACTATTACTGATGAAACCCAGCCCAGGTTCGCACAGGGAACATTCTTGCAGTGTGGCGATGGCACTAACCGCTGAACCACTGTGTCACCACATTTTACCAGATTGGTTCTGCAGCTTCTTCACAGCTCTTTAATCTCCTCGGTTATCTTGGTATGAGAGCAGACACTTCACTGTTTGAATAAACCCCCGACATGTTTTACAGCAGATGTAAAGTACACATATTTTGACAGACCAACACGAGGGTTACATCACTGCAGATTGTTTGCTGACCATCTGCAAACATAATTGGCCAATGCAATGAAACGCTTGTGTAACCAAGCAGTGAAATCACCAAGGGTCTATACATTCCTTGAATCATAAACAGCTCTCGGCATTGTGCTCGACCAAAATTGAAATGTGTGTTTGGATATGATGTATTACTGACCTTTTCTCTTTCTACTAACTTCTAAAGCACTTCACAAGAAAAAACAAACATCCTCTTTCAGAAGTCCTTCCCCGGAGCAGTCGACTGGCCAAGCCACTAAAACATGCTTTAAAGCACACTCCATCATTTGAAGAAGTAGCTATGCACTCGAGTTGTTACACACTGATCCATAGCAACGTGACGATGATCCTTTTCAGAAGCATGATTCAGTTCTACAATCTGACAGTTTTGTTATTGTCATGATGGATTGCAGCTGTATTTTACCTGATTTTCTCCTCAATTACAAAATAAGCAGATAGCACACTTTGGGGTTAATGTTCAATGTGTGTGTGTGTGTGTGTGACTCTGTGTGTTCAAGTCCAAAAGGAAATGAAATCACTGCACCAGAAAAATGGTACGATACAGGAAATGAAAGCAATAATACATTCTAGTCAGAACTTTGCTCTGCAGTGTTGAGAGCGGCCTAACATAAGCCTGTTTCATCTTGTAAAATAGAAATGAGACAAGACAAGACACACAAGCCTTTGTTCTGTCTTGTGAGCACAGCAATGCAACAAAATACCTGTTTTTAATCAAATCACCACACAAAACCTTCAAATAATCAAACGCAAATTGTCATATAACCTCATGTCTCACAACTTGCAGCAGAATGAAAGTCACCCCTGACTATTCTTAGAGTATCAGGATTTTTTCATGTTTTCACACAGCTGTGTGCAAGAGACTGGAAAAACAAACCTGATCCAAATTATAATTTTAGAATTAACTTTATATTTGATGCAAAAATAAATAAATATCTGCAAATGTGCCAAACCTGTCGACTTTTGTTTGTGTTTTTGATTGGATTCCTTAATTTCTGCAATTTAAAGATTTTAAATTTAAATTCACTAACCCAAGGACTTTGGTAAATCATGCGTCAAACTTCAGCTCATTGGCCCACTTGAAATTACAATCAAAAATACTTTTGAATTGCTTAAAACTGTCTTTGGCATTGGTTTTGATGTTTCATGAAACTTTGTTTGCTTCTGAAAAAGGTGATATAATAAAATACGACTTAGAAATAGCTTTTTCTGCCATCAGCCGAAAGCTGTTTGAAAAACCCAGGAGTGTCTGAGACAGAGAGACAGAGATTAAAATGTGTGATCCTTCAGCGGCCATGTTAACTGTCTCCTCCGAGGGCTCAGCCTCAGTGCCTCTGACCGTAAAGCTCTTTCTCCCTGTCTGCTCTGTGTTGCTGTGTCGGGCAGAGGGAGGGTGTAAATGTCGCCAGACTCCGCTGAGCTGCTCTCAGTGCCCAGCAGCAGACCGGATATTGGTGCAGCTCCCAGTGACAAAGCTGAGCCTTGCACTGTGCCGGTAAACTAAAAGGCAAAAGGCTGCCAGCATCAATCAGCTGCAGGGAACACAGAGGAAGAGAGGGAGCATCCTCCCCCCCTGCCAGGACTGCAGCGGGCTTCCTTTCACAAGAAGTGCAACCGCCTCCTCCCTCCCTGTCAGGTCTGTCTGAAAGGGCAAGACATGGAGGAGGCTGATTCAAAGTACAGCACTGATCCATCGTAGCATTCTCAGAGCTGCAAACATTTAAGCTGCAACACCATCTCATAATATATTGAGATCATATCGGTACTTTTAGTGACATGTTCCAACAAAACAGAGACAAATCATGAGGAATCGCCTTTATTTGGCTTTGCAGCGTCTGTGGTTATTCATTTACTTTCCTCTTTATGCTAAAATCAGCGAAACTGCGAAACAGTCACTGTGGCTTACCATAAAATTCACAGGGCATTAATCATGATGACCTTGGTCATCAGACTCAGGTCTCCAGTACCATCAACAGGTTCACATTTGGTTTTGAGTGAAATGTCTCAACAATTACTGACTGGTGGAATTTCACAAAATATCCAGGTCCTTGCTTTGCTGAAAAGTAATAACCCTGGTGATCCTGTGACTTTTTATCCAGCACCATCAGGACAAACATTTGACCAAATATTTGCAAAACCAATATGTTGTCATCAGCTTCAGCTGCACTTTGTATTTGAGTTTAGCACTTCTAGTTACTTTGTAGCATAAAATAAGCAACTTAACGCCAAAAATGATCAGCAACATGGACACAAATCAGTCTGATAAGAACTACATCAAATGACATATATGCTGACTTTTTAAGTTTGGTCCGTGTCACATCTGTTAACATGGAGGAGGCAGGGCTGGTGACCTACATTGCAGCTAGGTGGCGATCGAGATGCTTTGGCTTCACTTTTGGGGAGCAGTTATGAAATATTAAGATGCTGTGCATGAAAAATTGTTGAGACCATTTTTTGTATATTTTAGCATCATAACTTTTCCTAAAGCGTTCACCTTCTTTTACCTCTGCACACGCTGTAGCCCAAACATCTTATCTAGTCATGATCACAGCTGAAGTGAGGATTGTAAAAACAGATTCCAGGTCGTCCAGCCTGTCTGTCTGTCTGTCTGTCTGTCTGTGGAGGCTCTGGACAATGTTACAGCAGGGACGTTCCACAGAAAGGACACTGCTGTCTGCACAGACACGCCCACCTCTTCTTCCTCGCTGCTCTCTCCATCGTCCAGACACACAGGGGTCATGGTGAAATGGTCGCTGATGAGTGACAGGTAGACAAAGAGTTTAAATCCTCATTTGAAACAATTTCCTGATGTCATCGTGCTTCCTCGTCCGACTGAATAAACAGTGTTCTTTGCAGCTTTTGTGACATAACACCACAAAAACACTGATTCATACAAGAAAACCACCAAAAGGAAGTTTCTTTATCTAAAAAAAAAAGAAAAAAATCTAAATTTACACTGGATGTCTGACTTCAGATGACTTTTAACCAATGAGAAAATGTTATGTCAACCAAACAGAAGTTTTTGAATGGAAAACCCTGAAGCTGAAAGCAGTTTTTCAAAGAATGAGACATATATTTAAGGGCTTCTCTCTGGAAAAAAATATTTTGCAGAGTATTTGAGGTTGTTTCTCTTAAACCAAAAGGAGGCACTGGAGGATTCAAAATCCTTTCCTGGGTCATGATTTTCCACTTAGCTGCTCTGCAATTATGCCTCAAACAAGGAAAACTTCTAGAAAAAAAACTTCTAGCATGCGTTGAGATGACAGTGAGGTCTTTGTGCCACTTTTCATTAAGCCCTGCAGGGGAGGTTGTGCTCATTTCTATGATAGTCTACAGAAACGGCAACAGAGCCAAAAGAAATCTAACAAAAAGATGGGTCTGCTCTAATGAAGTCTGGATTCGATCATTCAGGAAAACGCTTTCAAGCACAAGAGTTTAACTATTAATTATTAACTATTGAGCTGAGGGGAATAGTTTAAAACATCCTCCACACAGTCAGCCAAGTTAATCTTTTAACTCCCTCACTCAACTTGATCTTCCTACAAGTCAAGCCTGTTCTAACCCTCTGTTGTTTCCGGCTTACTGCAGCAGTGATATCTAACTGGGTCAGGCCAGAGTCAAGAGAGTCATCCCAAACATATGGAGCGTGTCAGAAACTGAATAATGTCTATACACAAGTCTGTGGGGGGGACTGAATTCCTCCCTCCAAAAAGATCAGGTCATAGTACACCAGAAGAAAAAAACCTTTCCATCCATCAGGCCGAGTGTGGTGGACAACCTCAGTTTAACGTCTCAGTTTGACTTCTTTGGTGCACACAGAGCTCAGGTCTCAGTCAATAAAATGATTTCTCCAAGGGAAGAACCTTTTAGACTCTGCTTTGACCGAGATAACACCTTAGATATTTGACACTCATCTGCAGAAAAGGGGCACTGAACCAAAACTGACTTAGTAAATGTCTGACAGGAGTGACAGTTGGGTTTGTGAGAGCTGTTGTGAATATGATTTGTATTGCTCCACAACTTCCTTAAATGGATGAAATGCAGCTTTTGTGCTGCTCCACTTCCTCACACAATGGCAACATTTATGCAAAGTAATTGAATTTAATCAAACACAAGTCACCTATAACTTTCAAACAAGCACATTTCACTAGGCTACAACCACAAACTCTTCCTCAGTTTTTGATCAGAGCCTGAATCTACCATTTGAAAGTTTTTAGACTTCCTCAAATTAAAAGGTCTGAGGACACAAAACCTCTCTCTTCTCTTTTGTCACTTCAGTCTTGTGTCATCCATTTCCTGCAGTGGGTCATTTCACTCAAACAAATACCTTTGACTTAAGATGGATGTTAGGGGAAATTCTCGAAACACTAAAACCTCCACACTAAAAAGCTGATAGTTATATATTTATAGTCAGGGCTGACTTTTTTATTTATTTATGAATAAAAGGGAAAAGTTACTGTGTCTTACAATGCACTACTTCAGCAGTTTATAAAAAGAGAAACTTGAGTCCATTAGTAACTGATACCACAGTTGACTTTACAGCAGTCAGACCTGGACTGTGTTCACAAGAAATACCGTACATGATAGCATGTCAAACAAGATTTATAAAGACACTAACATTTATGGGAATGTTTCAATTCACGAGAAAAGACTTTGTTTGACCAAACACTATAAATAGAATTGGGTGAAAAGGGGAAGGATAAAAAAAAAAAAGGGGTAGTAATATTTGAACAAAGACGTTTTATTGGAGCCGTTTGGTTACACAGATAAATGGTGAAAAGCAGAATTCATTTACCACTTTAATTTTAATTTGATTGATTTTAAAAACTTATCACATAAATATGATTGTGTTAATGTCGTACTATAGTGACTAGCTTCGCTGCACTACCTTATCCAATATATTTCTAGGAATTGTTGATGCTTCTACAATATAGTAGAGATTGGAAGATAAGGTAAAGGTTATAGTCCTTCGCATATCAGAGCTCAGCTCTTTTGACATTTAAGTGTTTACCCTAAACCCAGTTTCTTTTAACAGCATTAAAATTAAATATTCTCATTTGTTTAGGTGATAATCACTTTAGATAACATTGTAATCAGCTAGTCATTAGTTTAACAATACTTTAAAAGTATTTTTGTTTCAATATAATAAAATGTCACCAGTGCACGAGACCATACAGAAGTTGCACTTTAACAAGTCAACCACATTTAAAAAAGTGTTGTGTTCTCATTTCCATCTATAGTATGTCAATGACATTTCTGTTTCACTACGAGACCAATGATGCCATCATGTGGCACATTAATGAATAACAAATCAAAGCATTTGCTGATAATGTTCAGTGCACTTTATTTACAACATTTCAGTTAAGACGCCCATTTTCATGTGAGAAATACACGTGTTATATGTAAACCACTGATTATTTATCCCAAAGTGCACTTGGTGAGATATCAGCAGAACAGTGTTTAAAATGTGCCACCGTACCTGGGTTACATCAACAAGAAATATCTGTATTTAATGCACTAATGGGCTCAGATCAAAAACAGCACAAAGATATAACAAACAGCATTACTAACACCACAATAAAAGCATTAACCAAACACTAATAACAATAATAATAATTATCTTCACTACTTTATTTCATATATTAATCTACATTTTCTTGGAAATAAATTAGCATGAAAAGAGACAGAAAACAGCACATTGGATTAAAAAGCAACTGTTAAGAATCTTTGCTCGTGGATCAACAGAATGTCAAGATTTTATATTACAGACGTGACGAGTTTCACCAACAGTTACTGTAGGAGACAAGGTCATGGCTTGGCTGTGTGGACATTTTCCACTGTGTTTCCACAGTTTATATTCGGCTGCTTACTCTGTGATCCGGAGCACGATGGGTTGGTCACATGGAGGAGGCATCAGTGTCTAAAAGATTAATTATCAGAGTTTTACTTGACTGTGAAATAAAATTTCAAGTTTTGTGGACGGAGATTAAATCCAGTCCAGTTACATTTAAGTTTTAGTGTATGATTGGGATTCATTCCTGTTTTTCAATATGAGGAATTGGCCATAACATCTTAAAAGCTGGGTTTCTGCAGGTTTCAACAAGTAGACTAAGACCTTTTATGAAATGTAAGATCTATGTCACATACGTCAGAGATGAAGGAATGTCAAAGGTCCCAGAATTACTTCCACTTGCCCATAATTAAAGATAAGGTGAAGCAGCCTAATGACCTTGGATATCTCTTAAGCTGCAGGCAGGCAGTAGGTGTCAGACATTCTCACAGCCACAGTGATGTGTGATTAATACTGAGCGGGGTGTTTTATTACAGCATGTTATTATCTGCATCATTAAAAACTATGCATGCGCCCACAGTTTTAATTAATATATAATTATACATAATCAAACATATTCAAGATGTAGTTCATAATACTTTAACGGAATTAAGAATTTTTAAATTACGATTGATTCTTGAATTTTGGAGTAGACCCTGCAGAAACCCTGCAAAAGACTCATCTGAGCAAATATATAACAACAATCTGGAGCGGTTACTGCCATGAGGAACAGAAACCGTGAGGGGTGGGTGACATGTGTCAGTTGAGGTCAAATGCCTCATGGAGATCGATACTCACACAGTTTCAGATTCAAACCTGGACTCCAGTTTCCGCTCCTCCGAAATGTCGGCGGCAGCCCATACACTGAGGAAGAGGAGGGAAGTGAGAAAATCTATTTAAGAGAAATCTGGCAGACCTGTGAAGCCATTTCATCAGTTTATTCACCAGCATAACAGAACAATTCAACTTTATTTTGGTATATAATGTGGGTACACACACACACACCTTCCTGAATGTCAAACTCAAGGACTTCTATAGGACCTTACAGGCCTATTGCCTCTAACTATGCCCTGTTGGGTCTTTGCATTTAATCGCTTTTACAGCGATAAAGATTTCTTTAATGAGAACTAAAAGCTTATACTCAAATACTAATGTGGCCTTCTCTAACACAGCAGAACAATATATCGAGAAAGACTTATGAGTGGAAGAGCAGAGACTGAGGAGGAGACACTTATTCTATTTACTCACTTTAAATTGAAAGTGTCAAAAGCTAAGTCAAGTATTATAAAGGATCAAAGATTTACATTCAAGGATTTCAAGGACCTGTGGGAACCTGTGTATAAATACTCAGAGTGCTGTGTGTGTGTGTGTGTGTGTGTGTGTGTGTGTGTGTGTGTGTGTGTGTGTGTGTGTGTGTGTGTGTGTGTGTGCGCGCGTGCATGTGCGTGCATCTCACTCACGGAGCAGAGAGTTGTAGAGGTGAGTCAGCTTTTACATCTACATGCTAATGAACGTATGTATATTAAATCTGGTGGGGCCCTCAGACTGACATTTTAACAAAGAGTGTCTAAAAGCAAAGCAGGCTGGTTCTTCCTCTAAACCAATCAGAAGAATAGAGATTGAGAGAGAAATACCAGACAGAACAGAAAAGTGGAGGGAGAGTGAAAACAACATGATGGAAATATAGTTTTTAACTTTGCCAAGGAGGTTTTGTTTCCCCCCCGTCCATTTGTTTGCCCATCGATTCACTGTATGACTGTGTTTGAATGGTCATCATGACTAGAAAGACGCCTTATAAGTACAGAACATTTATTTATTAACTGACCCATCATGTGTGACCAAAGTAGGGGGGAAAAAAAACACTCCATTAAAGTGAATGAGAAAAGAAATGATTCATAACGATTGGAGCTATTGTGACTGCATCTTCACCCAGTCATGACCTCTCACCTGGAAACAGGAGACTAAGGGCCTCTATAACCATGGCGGCTGTGCATGTTGACAGTGTGTGAGGCCAAGATGTAGCACATAAAGAAACCAACACAAGAGATACAGGCTCGGAATTCAAATACATTGCATACCCATTGTGATGAGCTGGGTCCTTGGATTCAGATTTCCTGGATGAAATGGCTCCGGTGCTGTAGCGGGAGTAGGAGTTCCTGCTCGGAGCGCAGTAGCCTGCAGCTGAGTGTGGGCGAGGGTAACCGAATGTTTCGGCTGATACTGGGGAGTGACGCATAGAATCCAGGTTGTCCAGAGACTCATACCTGGAGGGCAGAGGTCATGATTCACAAAACAGTCGTCAGAAGAGCCGCTAGCTAAGGTGCAATTTGAAATAGAGTTAAGATGAGAAATACGGGAGTCACCTCTTCAGAGGAACCATGCCGTTGACTGGTTCCTTGTAAAAGCTGCTTCTGCGCTGACGTATCCAGCTGTTGTCCGTCAGGAGCTGAGTTCTTTTCTTCATCTCCTCCAAAATCATCTGCCTGTCTTGCTCAGCCTTAGACAGAGATGGTCCTTTTCTTTTCCTCTGATCACCTGGACCAATTAAAGTCGGACGGGTTAGGTCCGTCCATCACCAAAACAGAGGGAGACATTAAAACAGAGAGGGCGGACTAACCTCGTATCTGTTTGTGGGAGCCAGCTAATGCCGGAGAAGACAAGGACTTTGCCCTAAGAGAGACACACACACAGACATTATTCTGCAGAGTCTGACTTTCTTTTTCAGGGTCTACACTGAAATGGTTGCATGCTGATGTTGGCTTCAAGGCAAAGACACACTGAGCTTATCTTGTTCTGACCTGTGTGCAGGAGACAGCTGAGCAAAGCCACAAGATTCCACAGCCCTGAGGTGCAGCGGGAATAACGTTAAGGCCGAGCACATGCAGCGGGGTTGGAAAAGCAGACACAGCAGCAGTCAGAAAAACATGTAAAATAAAATGACATATTAAACTGTTACATTCAGCAAGGATGGAAAAGATCTGAGAATGCTAGTGACATTTAAACTCGCAGAGAAAGGTGAATTCACCAGTGTTGTTCAGCGATGGTGTCAGTCTGCTCTTCGTGTGCATCACTCTGAGGTTTACGTCCCGATTCTTTCAGCTTGTCTCCGTCAGGGCTCTGCTCTTCTCTGTTTGACAGTGCGCTCACATGGAGCTGCGTGCTGGCAGGCCTCTCACTGCCATTCATCTGGATGGTGGTTAGCTTCAAATACATGGGGGAAAAATATATTTTATAGAAACAATAAAAATCCCTGAAGGATAATGTTGACCATGGACCCTCCATCAGTATTTACAAAACTATTATAAGAAAAACATGAGCCAGATCAGCAATTCAAAATCGATGAAAACTTCTTGATTAAAATAAATCTATATTTTTTGGGGAATGAAAATTTAATCTACCAGGGCATTCAGAGACATAGCCCATAGCTCTGCTAAGACCAAACAGTTCCCTTATTAAAACAGTTAAATTCACTAGATCTGGACTTTTTGGATCTGCAAAAAACTTCACACATTCATAGATTTCAATCCCCAGAACAATTTTTAATTTTTCATCAAAATCCATGAATTATTTTAGGATAAACAAATTCCTGGATCAGCCCAAAAATGTAATACCCTCTACCTTGTATTATTCCCCACCACTCCAATGAAAATTGGTTGGAAAGTTTTTGCATAAAATAACCTCCTGTGTCTAAAATAACAGGGAAATCAATTAACATGTTGAAAACCCTATTTCACAATGTATGTTCACTGTATCCCCTGATCCAGATCTGATGGACTGATTTTTTTCTGACCCATATCGCATCATAAAGTCCCATCATCCGGGGGTCACAGTCTGAATGTACTCACTTGAGGTACACATTGAAAAGCACATTCTGTGATGACTTTATAGAGCAATATCTTATAATTACTTATTATGAACTCAGTTTTAACTTAAATGGTCTGCAGCTAAGAAAAGACTCACGCACAACATTACCTCCGACTTCCTGCCCAAGTCCCCCATCGCATCCTGCTGTGCCCTCCGCCACTCTGCCTCCAGCCTCTCCTGATCCCGCTGGTATTGCTCCTGAAAAAAAAAACAAGACACATGATGATTAATAAAAGCAATAAACTCCTTTTTGTGATTCTGTGTTGGGAGAAAAGAGTTTAGACCTGTAGGAGGCGCTCCTGCTCTTCCTGCCACTTTTCCTGCCGTCGTCGATCCTCCTCTCGGTCCCACGACCAGCTGGATGAGGAGGGGCTGAGGGACGGCACCTGGAGCTGGGGATACACAGACAGACTGTGGGCTCCAACATTATCACAGAGCAGTGCACGCACACACACACACGCACAGCGTATGTTTCGAACAAATCTTTGATGGTGGTGCAGTAACTTACATCAGATATCGCAGATTCTGAACCTCCTGGGTGAGGAAACAACATGTCAGCAAAGAGAACAGTGTAATGGAGGTCACACAGTCACCACACGAAGGCTGGGGACACATTAGCAGAGACTTTTGAAAATGCACTGGGTCACACATGGGATGTTCTCTTTTATGTCTGCATCAAACTTTAGTTTGATCCCTGACAAATGCTCTGCTGCATCTTTCTGAGCAGCACAAAAACGTTGATGTGTTCACACACTCATGACACAGTATCAGGAGCAGTGTCTCGCTCAGGGACATTTCAGTGCACTCTGAAGGAGCCGGGAATCGAATCCAGGAACCTTACATGGGTCCAGAGTCTGGCAAGCTCCTTACGCTCTTTAAAAAATGTGTCTTTAAGAGATATTTAAAATTTGTGCTTTCTCCTAGCTCTGATCTTACCAACTATTTTAATCAATTTATAGATGTTTTATTTTTCTCTTCTTTTTACTCAGCAGCAACTTGTTATTTCTGTATCTGTGCTCCAATACTGTGTGATCTTCAAATGACTTTCAATTGTTTACTTTTTTAAACTATATCAAATTGTTTCCTTCAATTCTTAACTTGTAAAGCAACTTTTAATTGAAACGTGCAATATAAAAAATATTGTTATATTTGATATAGTCGCTATAAACCAAAATAAAAACATAATCAAAATAAATGTAATGTCTCCTTTACAGAGCTTTATATGCACGCATAAGTTAAATATATGATCAGAACTATCAAACAAGTAATGAGTAGTTGAGATTAAACCTGTAAATATGTCTGCTAATGTACCCCCCCCCAGCATAAAGATGCCATGCACAACTTCTATAATCAAACAGTTGAGCATGCTATAGCAAATGAAAAAATATTCACACGCCATGACCACACAAATCTGCTTTGTTCATTTGCTGATTAACTCCAAAACAGATTTTAGCCTCTAGCATGTGACTCACAGTACAGCAAAGAAACAAAACCACATATACAGTGAGAACATTTACCACATAAGTAAACCCATGAGCTGAATCCTGCAGAGCCTGAAGAGAGACACCATTGTAGCAGGACACACAGTCATTAACAACCACCAAGGGCAGCGTCACAAACCAGGCATTGTGCAAACGAATGAGGACGTTACCAATTAAAAAGTAAAAACCCATTCAGACAGAACATGGGAAGATACAGTAAGAGAGTGAACAGCTAACAACACATTACAGCTCTGCGTGTGCAAGGTTAGACTGTACCACCTCTCTGAAGCAGAAATAAAGTGGGCACTCATTTATAGAGATGCTACTTCTTTCATAGTTGTGTGTCTGGCTGCTTTGAATAAAATGCAGTTTAAATGCTGAATTAACCAGGGTTAGTGCAGGTCGTAAAATTTAAAGTTATATTTAAGACTTTAATAACTATGTTAAGTATAACAGATATGAAGTTGTTTCAAAGTCCTAGAATTTCTTACCCTCCCCCATATTAGCCCCATCGAGAATAACACTGGAAATGACACGTTTTCTCTCAAACTACAGGCAGAGACACAGAACCGCAGTCTTTCCAACAGCCAAGTCGAGTGTGCCGAGATCAATTCTGAGCAACGTGCTTAAAGACTTAATCTGATCAGTTATCAGTTCCATGTTGGTCTCATTTCTGGATTTATTACAGCGTGCTAATATTTGTACCATTGACAAAGAACTACAAAACATGCTGACAAAACAAAGTGTGACGGAAGTGGCGTTAAATGTAGATTAATAAAATAAGAAGTAGCTTAAATGTATTTAAGACCTAGTAAGACGTAATACTTCAATGTTTTTACAGCCTAAATCCATAATATAACATTTTAGACTTTAAATCCCAGCTTCATGGCGGTCCTTAAGTAAAGGTCCTCATCTAATCACAGTGCATTATCCAATTTCTTATATTCCTTCTTAAAATCTTAGCATACTGAGCATGTGCATTTGATGCCAAACATTTAACCAAGCCAAGCACCAGCCACCAAAGCTAAATTTCAAACTGGATTTTTACCTCTCTGTTTGAAAAACTCTGCCCTCCTTGTCTGATTTTTCCTAATCATTTTATTACAGTCTGACATGGAGAAGGGATGAGAAATCACAAACTGTATCTGAGGAATTATTCCTGCCGAGGATGTGCGTTCATGTTCAGATTTGTAATGTCATTACCTTTACTTTTGGCTGTCCTGTGGCCTTCAGCAAACCCTCCATCCAAGACTTTACCTTGTTTAACCTGGGCAGGTGAAAGAAAAGATCGGCCTGATGACCACCACTAATTAAACTGCACCACCAGAAGCTTTGTGCATCCATTTTTTAAATGAGGCGATAACTGCTGAAACATTGCTCACATTGTCTGTGTGCCCATTGAATTTCAATGCTGCGGTTTCTGTAGAGGCAGTGCTGTTGGCATGGTGATCAGAACAACCTATCAGAACAGGCGCTGCGGCCGTCAGATTGAGGGTCATCCTGCTCTTGCCTGGCTGGGTGTGAGGACTCCCCTCACTGGAGCTCCAATCTAATGACAACAACCAGCCATCAAAACCAAGGCCACATGATCAACCAACGAATGTGATGTCAAAGGTTAAATCATCGAATTATTTAACCACCAGGAGGAGGTCAAAGACAAGACTGATCTTTTGGCTCATTATCTCACCCTTGTTGCCATAGCGTCTAATATCCATGGTTAAGCTGCCGGTTTGCAGAGCAGATGTCATTTTATCCTTCCACTGGTTGTAGTTCATGTGTGCCACCGCCACTCCATCAACAGCCACGATCTCATCATCCACACACAGCTGGCAGAGCTCTGCTGGACCGCCTGAGGAGGGAGGAACGGAGGGGAGAGAGGGCCAGGCATCAGGACAATGAAAAAGATGAGAGCGTGGACAGCACGGCACAGAGGTGCCAGCTTCACAATTTATTTGCTAAGCACAAAGTGAGAAACAAGCAGTAATGGGAGGACAAGGTTGCTGCTCCGAGTCAAAAAGTAGGCCTGTCAAGCAAAACTGCACAGCAGCGAGTTAAGTGACACCTCTCTCTCACATCTAATTAAACATTTATGGTGGAGTTTGAAATCACACACAAACACACACACACACATTCTGAGTGAAAACCATCCAATGATCATTTCTCCCCTCATGTACATCATTATCATAATCGCTTTGGATAATTTGCACATTTCTCCTTGTTTGCATAATTTTACATTCTTATTTCGCTGCATGATCATTTTGGCACCGAAGAAATTGATGCACCAACATCATTTTTATATCTCTACTCTGTAACTTGAACAGTCAGTGTGGTGCGTCACTGTTCCAAAGTGCAGGCTGTGTGCAAAAGCAAATGAGAGAAGCAGAAAATATTATGGAGCACATTGGAGCAGACAATGTTCAATGACCTAATCGTCACACTATTTCAGTCCATCTATAATTAATTATTCATGTTACAAAATTACAGTAATGCAGAGTTAAATATAGCGAACGTCTTACCGAGCTGAATGAACTTTACTCTCGCTCCTGTCGAGTCCCAGTGAGTCTGGAAACCAAAGTCTGGTACACTGTTGGGTTTAAGGGTAAGGCTCACTCTCATGTTACTGTGATCCACCTGAAACACAGACGTTAAGGTGACACCCTGTGATCCAATGTCCTGTACTTCCTGGTGGAAATCAGAGACTTTAGAGGTCTGCTGCATGAATACAGGGATACACTGATAAGTCACCACTTTTTCAGGTTTTGTTGTCACAATGTTTGTGGCTTTAGTTAATGCTGGTAAAGCAGTGCATTGAAAAGGTATCTCTCAGGTTCAGTGTGTAGAATTTCAGTTTCAGTGCATCACTATCACATTTGCTCTGTGATGTAAAATAACAGTTTACCTTTGTAGATGTCGGCAGAGCGGAGCTGTTGTAGTGTTGGGCCTGCAGAGCTGAATTAGGTTGCGGTAGTGGCTGGGTGCAGGGCTGATGGTGAAACCCATTTGTCTTGATGGAGGTCTGAGTGGAGAGTATGGACCCCCCTGTCCCCTCCTCCTCCCCCACCTGATCTGTACCACTCTGCTTTATCTGACTGGTTTTCTTCAGTCGGAGTGAAGCCTGGTAGGGACTCCTCAGGTGACTGGCTGCAGTCTGTCTTTTAAGAGAAGATTTCGAGGGTGGAGAAAGACATTTTTCTTTCTCACTAGTCAACTGCGAACCGTTGCCATCTACCTGCAGATGAAAAAAAGAACAGGATGATTTCTTCAGAGGAACGGTGCAGACACACGTGATCGCACCATTAACTCTCCAGGAAGACGTGAAAATAACAGTGTGTGATCCTGTAGTGAGTTGATGCTGTTCAGACTGAGGCAGCAGCATTCCTATTATTAATGAGGAGGATTAAACAAAAGGTAACACAAGCTCATACGCACACAGGAAACACTCTTATCATATTAACTAGCTGGAGTCCATGTGGTGGACTTAACAAGCCCCTGTGCAGCTTCCTGAGCACTAAACATACACAGAGTCAGAATTACAGCCGGAGAATTGTAACTGTCTAGACCGTAAAACGTAATGTGCAGCTGGTGGCTCTTTCTTTAAAAAGCTCCATAACTTCAGTAACACTGGAGAATATTTCAGCTCTGACTGTAGAGACCATTGACTGTATATAAAGATGGACTTCACCTCCTCCGTGTTCAGCTGGAGTCAGAGTTTGTTCAACCGTGATGAGGATGGAGTCGCGGTAGTGATGTCACACTGATACTCATGCTCCACCAATCGCAGGTGCTGACCTCAGCAGTCAATAAAGTTTCACCCCATTTTTTTTAGGATCAAACAGCTAATAAAAACAGAACTTACCAGAGAAATAAACTATTGAAGAAACATCAGCGTGATAAGAACTGACAGAGACCACCTTTGAGAAAATTATTCGAGGTGTACTTTTAGCTTGGTCCAAGTCCTCTCCACTAACATGGAGGAGGCTGTATTTTTGACCTAGGTGGCAATCAAAAAGCTTTGGCTTCCTTTTGGGGAGCAGCCATGTCATCCATCTATATACACACAGTCACTACTGACACATCTATGTTTATCTACTGTTCATCTGCACGCTGTCATCCATGTCCATCACCATAAAAACAGCTGGAGTGTGACCTTTGTTGTCATCAGCCACATATTAACACCATTACTTATTTTACAAGGTCAATTATTCTCCACTAGATGGCATCTTACTGTGTGGAGACCATTTGGTAAAACTCACACTGCACAGTCTCGGCAGCGAAGACATCCTCGATTGCTTGGTCCCAAAGGGTCTCGCTGTGATCGCAGAAGAGAGACGGGATGAGCCCTCGGACCGCCGGTACCCGCGGGGAAGGCTGGCAGAACCGGACCATGATGCAGTTCTGGACAAGTACTTGTAGACACCTGCAGTTTGCTCAACTGGTTCCCAAGATGTCTTAAGGCTCTCCTCCTGGGACATTTCCTTCGGAGATGCCTGATTCACTGGAGCAGGACAAAAGGATGGAACTGTTGGATCGATGCTGGGTGGAAGCTCCTTGTGATTCATCGTAGACACAGTGCAGGTTGATTTTGTGGCCTCCTTTGGCTGCAAGGTTGTGACCAGAGTGGAGATTTTATTTATAGGAACATTCTGGGGCTGAGTCGGTTCAGATGTGCACTGCAGAGGAGCTGGGCTGCCCTGAGCTTTGACTTGAGTCTGAGAGCTGAAAGGGAAGTCTGCAGAAGGTGTGGTGGCTCCTGCTCCCTCTGAAGCAGAGGAGGGAAAGTGGCTCTCCTCTCCCAAGATGGTCCCATCGGAGGCAGGCATGACTCCTACCAGTGATCCCTGAGAAGAAACAAAGCACAGCCAGGGGTTTGCCATGGAACAGCCGAGAATAAAAACAGAATATATGTTACACCCTGCACCTTTCAGATTTTTTTTCATTACACCTTTATTTGACAGGGCAGAGTAAAGTGGGGAGGGGGAAATAGAGCAGGGCCGGATCAAGCCTCCATACGTGTGGTACCCAAGAGCTCACCTGGTTGAGTGGGCACCACATGTACAGGGGGGTTGGGTTCCTGCAGCTATATCGATCAGATTTATTTTATTTTTTTAATTTCTTGGTATTTGTAACCACCATTACATAAAACAAGTACATTCAATGAAGCCATCATGGAAAAACAGAGCACAGCTGTAAACTCACCTGCGTAGGGGCTGGGTAGTGGAGGATAAGTGTGGCAGTGGGAATGAAAGGTGCCTCAGTGGCGTAGCTGCGGGTCAGCAGAGCTCGAGTATGTGGCCGGAGATCAGAGTTTGATGATTTTGACAGAGGAGAGGTGGAGTGGAGCCGGGGGGCGGGGTTACTCCTGCGTGGTGACGGCTGGTCTCTGAGGAGTTGGCATGTAAGGGAAGAGGAGCCGATGTAATAAAAGGAGAAAACATGAGGGGGAGGCTGTGGGTCATATTACAGGAGTTCACTGTGGCCTTTCATGCACAGGATTTGAGAGTGTTAGTATTTTTAGTAATGTACTTAAGCAGGACTGTACCTCTTTAGCATTGCGCCACGTTCTGTGTCATTCTTAAAGTTGCTCACAGCCCTATTGGTCATGGACAGAGAGCAGGCATTAATCACATGCTCTCTGTCCAGCGACTTCCTACGGCAGTCAATCTTGGAGCTCCGGCGACGATTCTTCCACTTCGTCAAGTCCTGAAACAAACGTATGAGCCAATGACACTTTTGTGTTTGGGTATAAAACTACATTTCAGTATGTTAAAGCTCCGACACATTGTTCTGACATAAAAAGTTCAATCTCAACCTTGGGCCCTGATCTCATCAAGTGTAAACAACTCCCAACATAAGGTCCAGTAGCTCTCGAACTTCTGATGACATCACGTCATCCAGTTTACACCCCCCCATCCCAATTTCTTTGAATTGCAGATATTTAAATTTCCATGAACCACTATAACTTAAGCTTTATGCAAAAAACTTTTAATTCAATATGGATGTGTAATGTCTTAAAATTAACTCAACTGGCACTCGGTTGAGAATAGGGCTGGGTTCTTCATTAACGATTCATAAAAAGGAGGAATCGATATTTTAATATAAAGGTATACCATATTTCCCATGAGTGACCCCATTGCACATAACAGGGGCAACATTTTAGCAAGTGTGTCTGTAAACTCAGTCTCGCTCTCTCGATTTGGAAAATCCATGGCGATACCCAGCCCTAGTTGAGAACATACCATTTGTCCAGTAGTCTCTCTATAAAACCATGTTTAAATGTATTTGGATCTGCACCAAATTGCACAGACTCAATATCGGGGGGGGGGGGAACAAATCCTGGCACCACAATAAAACTTAATGGGATCTTCCCTGATCCATACGACAGCCTTCCACCAAGTTTTGTGGTAATCCATCCAGTAGTTTTGGCGTAACCCTGCCAAGTGACAGACAAACACTGACAAAAAAAAACAACCTCCCTGCTTGAGGTAACTAGTAGTTATGCTCAAAAGCTCCAGAAGTACTGAATGAACCTTGTAGCGGTACTTTTGACTTACATCTTGCCACTGAGCCTCACTGTCCTTTCCGGGTACGCTGCTCCTCTGTGCATTTTCTTGCTGCCACTCCTCTGCCGTGTCAGCGTCCTGGCCCACATCGGGAATAGTGTTCTGCTTAGGAAGTTTACGCGCCGGGTAGAACATCGGGATGTCGCTGAGTGATTTACTCCTGTTTCACACAGACAAAGAATCAAGACATTAAAATGAATGAATGTGCAGAGCTAAGATGGTATTTAAAACAACGCCGCTTTATTTTAGTGTCACTTTAGAACATAGTGTTGCTGAGCAAGCATGACAAACATACCAACTAGTTTCTACATGCACACACACACACAAAATACATGACGGGCAACAGTATTAACGGCAGCAACACGACACATTCTGCATTCAAACAACAGAATCCATAATCAAGTGGGGGGGGGGGTACCATTCAAGTCAAATAACGCAGCAGTATAAATGGCAGCAGATGTTGCTGTCTGGATAACACAACAGATTTGACTTGCAGCAAGTAATGGCATTGCTGCGGGCCACAGAGGATGTCAGGCGTGCCATTCAAATAACTTACAGCAGCTTTTAGCAGCTAGAGTATCAAAACTGACATAATTTGATCTGAGCAACCAGGACTGTGATTACAATCAGTCCTGTGGTTTGTCATAAATTCCTCCGACAAGTCACCAAATGCTCTGTCTTCAGGAACAAGCGAGAGCTGTTTGCAGAGTAATGTCCTTTGCACCCAAGCGGAATACAAACCAGAGCAGACACGGAGGAAGCAACAGCAGCAACATCAGCGCTTATTTTACACCCAGAACTTTAGGACTCACCAAATCCAGCCAGGGTTGACCTGAGCTGGTGTCTCAGGCCTGGCCTGGGTTTGATATGCTCTACAGAACCAAAGAAACACATGAAGATGGATGACCACCATTATGCAAAATATTTGGATTGATAAAAGCAGCCTAATGAGAACGGGATGGAGTAGAGACAACACTGTGTAAATAAGACACATTTGGATTAAAAGGGATATGACACATGGGTACAAATTCACATGCTACACAGTATTTTAATGTTTATTATTCCACACCAAATCATATAGCAGAGGCAGAAAACATGACAGGACGAATGGGTTATAAATAACTTTTTGTTATGGCTATGAGAGTGCATGAGTCATCTGACTAACCATTACAATCTAATGAGTCACTTAACATGTTGCTGTCAAATCACCTTCAACGTCATCTGTGCTATAAAAAAAAGGTGCCACAGTGAACGGCAGATAATTATAACATGCAGCAACAATTAATTCGTCTAATAACTTCATTAAATATCTGAGAAACTGAGCAAGTTTTGGCTTGTTTGCCAAAATTATGAAGCTCCCTCTGCAACTTTCACATTTTCAAATAAGGAATGCATCCATTTGACAATGTCGTACATGAGGAGATGATGAGTAGAACAGTGTTAGAGCTTGTATCAGCAGATTATACAGTGTGTGATGTTGGTATTTGTATTTAAGAGATCGGGTTCAATACCTCCCACCAAGGAAGTTAGATTTCCGTCTGTGTTTGTTTGTCTTTTAAAGATTATGCAAAAACTACCTTCTATGATTTCCACTGAATTTTGTGCAGGGGTGGGACATGAGTCAAGGAAGAATCCATTAAATGTAGGTGGAGATCCAGGTCAGGGGCTGGGATGCAGGAATGTTTTAGGTTTGAACATTGCCAGGGAGGTTTTTAAACATTTCTATTAATTTCCCAGAGAATAATGGATCTCGATGAAATTAAAAACAACCTAGCATGGTTAGGGGACTGATACATGTGTGTAATTTGATACAGATGTGAATACAAAATTTGGATCTAGCAAACTGAAATGTGGTTTCATGAGGGGACCGTTGGGCCTTGGTGGAGGTGTACTCTCTGACACTCTGGTTGGGTGTGGACCCTCGGGACTGGGAGTGTTTTTGGTTTTCTTTATGAGGTCTTGACTTTACTTTATAAAGTGCCTTGAGATAATGCATGTTATGATTCGGAGCTATACAAATAGAATTGAAAGTTCTCAGTGATGGCTTCGAGGCTCTCCAGTTGTGGCAGAGATGTTTTGCACAGTAGCAGATGTCATGAGGTCAAACTCTTCGTCAGAAGAACCCAGAGCTTTGTGGCTAGAATCACAGAGAAGGAAGAGAACGTGTGAAATAAGAACATGATAAATAAACAATAGTAACACAGCACGTCTTCAGAGGAGAAACATTGAGGTTTTAGTTTGTCATCATTCAGCGTCAGTAACACTAGCTAATGCCCGCACCAAGCAAACTAGGAATTCCTTTGCTTGGCATGATGGATTTATATGCTTCTATTTAATGCTAAACATGAAACCGCATGTCATGTTAAACTGCAGTTAGCAAGTTATGTTTCTCAAAAGATGTTAAGTTAGACTCAAGCCTGCAAACTCAGCCATGTGATATTTTTGTTCAAGCAAAAGGCATCAGTACAAAAGAGCACTTCCTGCTCTGCCTTGTATTAGTTTTACTTAACTGTGCCTTCACACTGCCATGCATCACAGAGCAGTAAAAGCAGCCCACTGACCTTAAGCCTTGCATTTTACGATACCAGGGTCTTCTCTGGGAGCCAAGATAGATCGTGCGCACGCGAGTCTCCTCTTCAGGCGTCCAGTATTGAGGCAAGAAGCGGTCAGAATTGGGGTTGGCAGACATCTGACGAAGAGCCTGCTGCACCCGCCGGAAATACAAGTCATCTAGGACGGGGTCAGCTTCGGTGTAGTCCTCTTCTGAGTCTTCATCACAGAAGGCCCGCTGGAAAAGCGCTTCATCAAAGAAAGACTCGGGAGGAGTCAGAGCGAGTTGGGGTTTGGGAGAGACGGGGGCTTCGTTGACGCTGCAGCAAAGAGCGGTTTATTCACAGCTGATGATCACACAGGCTTTGCTTTGGGTGAAATAACAACACCAAGTATCTTAGAAGTGATCGCCGACGTCACAAAGCTGCTTCAAGGTCTGACTGATGATTAATGTATGATTTATGCAAATTCACAGTCTTCTGAGGATAAGCTCACAGGGTTACACAAGGTTCGTTAATTTTTTAAGCAGCGGTGCAGGAGGTAGCGTCTACTGGTTCACCATTAACAGTATGTATCTTCATCTACTTCTGCAAAGAGTTGCTGTCATGTGCTGGGCACAAATCCGATCCGGGAGGGACGATGGTCTGTTCAGATGGTTGGAGTTTTGCTCGCGTGTGGGTGCGGCAGCCTCAGGCCAAACTGACCCCCCGATCAACATTTTAAAATGTCATGGTAACTTCTTTACCCAAATTTAAACCACAAGAAGCATAGAAAATATATTTAAATAATGTTCACAATAACTCGCATTGGTAGTTAAAGTTCACAGATTTTCATACTCAACTGTAAATCATTATGTCTTCAGGACTGATGTAAACCGTTTAATAGTTTGTCAACATACAACTATTAAATTCTCTTTTGTTTCTGTCTAATTTCTGATTCCACATTAAAGACTGTTTTTAATTCAAATGACTTATATTTAGAAAGATAAACATGTTCAGAGTAACAGAAAACCAAAAGTTACAGTGGAGCAGAATGTGAAAAATCAGCCATGAATAAGTGAGTTAGCCACAGCATGTGAACTTGCTGTGTAAAGCAGCCACATGTACAGTACCTGGGGAGTGGACCGTCGCAGCCGCTTCCATTGCCCTCTTGTCTTTGTATTCTCCGTAGAAGTGGTGGTGGGATATGGCCTTTAGTCTGATGGACTGGAGGCTGTGAGGTCTCCATCCTGAAGACCTGCTCAGCTTCTGCATCACTTCCACAACCTGGACATCATGTGAAAAATAAGCAGGAGAAAAGATTGGTTTGGAGGGAAAGAAAAGGACGAGAAACAAAAGCTAAAAACAGACAGATAAAGTTTAAATAAAGGAAAAAGTCTGAAAAACAAGAGGAACCTTCAGTGGATGACTGAGTCTGCACACAGCTAAAGCCTTTAGGGAGATTTGTGACAAGTATTTGACCCTCTCCCATCACAGACACTTGTCACCATAGTGTGGAACTTGCCACAATCTATCACTGACGCGCAGCGACACCAAGTACGGCAGCGTGCAGAATAATGACGAAATACGAGGATCAGCCGCTTCTGGGTTGAAGTAAAATGATTCAGTGTAACATGGGTGCACATGGAATAAAAAAATATGATAATTCATGACTTTTTGATAAGGACATTTCCATTTTAAGCTCTTCTGGAGTTTCACAGTAGCAGGTAGGGGGCAAAAACTAGTTGGATAAGCAAAAGGTTGCAAAAGCAGGGTTCTTCTAAAGAACAGAAACTACATTTGCACCCAAATTAAGGATTATTTGAAATGGTGCAACTTTCACAAACTGTTAACAAGGAGATTATAAAACTAAATGTACCTTCACTATTTGGGCGGAGGCCCCGGTAGTCCGGAGAACCAACACTGTCCACAGAGTTTTCCCTTTTATAGCTCTGTCTCATACGCTGACGTTCCTCCCTCTCCGGGTACCAGCACTCTCTGTACCCGCCGTCTTTCACAAACACGTTACTGCCCTCATCTAAGGACTGGATTTAAAAGGGCAGGGTTAGTATGAATAGGATAAAAACAAAAAAGGATTACAAACAATAGAGGCTAGAAGAGAAGTTTACCTTGGACAAGGCCAAACCTAACAGTCCTTCAAAGGCCTTGAAGTTGAGCTGAGGTCCACTGTAGAATGCGTCGAGGTGAGCTTTGCGACCCAACCAGTAGATGGTGATCAGAACCTGAGGAAGAGCAAACGCAAAACCATGAAGTACACAACTGCCCTCTTCTACCATGTGAAAAGAACAAATTGAATTTGTTTCTCTTCTCAAGTCCAAACCAATGCCCATTTCTGCGATTATTTCTCTCCAGAACATTGAAAAAGTAAACTTTCAACTAATTCTGTCAGAGATGCGAAACAAAAAAGGTAAAGCACCCAATGCTACAATGACTTACCTTTCTGCCTAAAACACACGGGAAACAGGAGTTCAATCAAAATGCCAGCCCACCCCTACCACTGCGATGAAAATGACCATCAGCATGACAGACGGTGCGAGACTCTTTTCCGCCCTCATTCTAAAAGTGACAGCAAAGTGCTGCTGTGTGTGACACTATCATTTTGCAGCCTCTCCCCTGTCACAGCAGGTCAGACAGAGCTGCCAGTCTGTCCCTGGTGTTTTTCACCGAATGGGGAAGGACAGTACACTGTGAGAGTCCTGGGAGGAAATGCTGAGCAGTGCTGCAGTCAGGAAATGTTTAGAAGACGGACAATAAGGAAACTCGGTGGTGCTAGAAGCTAAATATCAGTATGCTTGCACAGACAATGCTAACATGATAAAGTTAGAAGGTAATATTCATCTTGATTTAGTCCGTTTGACTAGGATGACCTTCAAAACTCACACCTCCTAAAAAGGCCAAACAATCCTATACAGGTCTAGTTTTTATTAAAGACAAATAAAAGGGTGAAGGAGTCAGATGAACTGCACCAAATTGAATCAACTAGATCAACAGCATAAATGTCAGATTTTCTTATTCATGTAAAGATTCATGTCTTATTTCCTGAGAAATTTGTAAAAACAATGAAAATTGCCCCCTTGAATAAATCCGCACCAAATTAATTGGGCTGGTCGATGGTCCGTCCCTCCACTAAGTGCGGTTCAAATCGGTTACTTCAGTTGAAGAATTGACAAACACACGAAAACATAACGATTAATTAACAGCTATGATTGGCGTCTATGTTTCCGGCGTAATAACCCCAGATATGTTGAAAATAAATATATTGATAGTGAACATATCTTTAACACCCTGTCGGAGCCTACAGGTGGATGCTGGGGTGGAAGGGTCTGAATCAACAGGGCAGCAGTGGCATTAAGAAGTTTAAATAGAAGCCTATATAATATCCAACTTGAGAGGGTGTGTATGATAGAGGATGTTGGAGAGTGAGATATGTCTCACAAGCGTCGCTATATTAGTGGCATGAGAGGAAAAGTCAGTACATTATGATTCATTTTCTGAGAATAGTCTGTCTCGTCTATATTTTCTGTTAATCCATCTAAAGGTTGTTGTAGTAGCAGCCTGGAAGAAAAGCAGTAGAGGGACTGACCCCACCAACCTTAGGGTTATGTCACTATAAACTGTCTAGCAGGTATTAAAAATGTGTCTGCCCAAAACTGAGGGGCATTTGTAACCTTTTTCATTCTGTCCCTCAACATGTGACGCACTTTTCTCACAGCATCAGCCATGAGGAACAAACTTGAATGTAATCTTCAAAAGACCACCTCAAAACCCCAACCACAGTCCAGAACACCAGTGACATTAGTCAGACACCTGTCAACCATCAGTAAAGACCGGGAGTAAAAGCTGATAAATATGGGCCTCTCATTGGCATTAAGAGTTTCATTACTGCAGCAACTAAAGTGTTTGGACACCGTTTATTTCTCATTTGCCTCGAGGCGAGGGATATATTTTTGACGCACTGCCTTTGGGAGAGCCTGGCAGAGTGGCAGCCTCTGTTGCTCAGGGAAAGCCACAACACCGAATCAGACTTCCCCCGTCTGTCTTAACAGAGTCATCATAGAGCAGACTGAAAATAAAAATCCATGTAAGAAGATTGTTATGGCTAAATATTTGATAACATAATGCAAATTAAATGACAGATGAGAATTGAGTGGTGATAAATGCATTTGAATGGATTACCAATTACTCTTGAGCAGCTACTTTACTGCTCATCTGAAAGCTAAATAAAGATATAAGAGTTCTAGCCATTGAGGAGAAGCAATATAATTAAAAGAAGATGCAAAGACCCTTTACAATGTGCTGCTTTTAAAAAAAAAAGAAAAAGAAAATTAAGGTGATTTAAGCCAATATGAGCCACTGAAGCTAAAATTAGTTCCACTCTTACCTCATTTGCACAACCTGAGTAAACAAGCATTCAGGGCATTTTTCTAGCTATTAACATTTACTGTATGAATAACTCAGCTTCAATTATCTGTGTGGCTGGAAACCTGAATGAAACTGTTGCTTTCAATGGCTGCAAATTGACCCTAATTGGTTGATTCAAAGAAAAATGCTACGACCATTTCAAAGAAAGAGGGCTGCAACAAACAGCCTCATTACAGAGTCCACGTCGTCAGCCATTGTGTGATTTAAATGAGGCTCCGCAGATAACCAAACCACCTCATGAGCTGCAGAACATGTAAAATACCAGCGGTGCACACAAGCGTGCACATACACAGCCCTCACATGTCTGCACAATAATTACTGTTGGGAGCGACGCATTTACAGATACAGTTCAAGGCACAGTGATAAAACCAAAGTCTTCACTTTGGCACAGACTAAGTGGTGGGCAATGCCAGATTATTGTGATGAGCCTTGAAACAACCCCCTTGACCATCATTCACTTTTGATTCTGGAAGAGTCTTGATGCTGGTGGGATGTTGGCATCAGGAGCTGGAACCAACTTCATACAAGTGCTGGTAATTGGGTTGATAAATGAGATGTTGGCTACAGATTTCCTCTCATGTTGTTAAGTGATTAGGGTGTTGACGTAAAACTCATCGGCCATAAGAGGGAAATCAGGAAAAAAAATCCCCTCATGAAACCACATTTAAATTCATCAGACCCTGACTTTTATTTTGATCTGCACCAAATTGCCCACACTCCTTAACATGAATGATTTTTAACATCAACATCCATGAATTATCCTAACAGAGATTAATGAATATGTTAAAAAAAATAGTCCCAATCTCATGTTAAATGGTGAAAGAAAAATATTCCTGTAGCCGCCCCGAAATTTAAATAAGTAATCCTGCTAAATACAACCTCCTTGGTAGAGGTAAGAAATTGAGAATTCATCCAGGTCAAACTTACATTTTTCAGTCTTCTGCTGCTTTCATCTCGCCTGAAACAAAAAATAATAAAACAGGGAAAAAGATCAGTCATGCTGCAGTTTACAGTATTTACAGCACATGCAGTGACACAAATGCAATAGCTTTGCCTGTGAAGAAGATAAAGAGCCCTTCCAGTGACATTTCAAAACTTCTCAATTGCAACTCTCAACTTATCAGGATTTATAGACAGCAGGCGATCACACAGCAGCAGCTTGTTAGGTAGGGCTCAAATATTTATAAATGCAAAGAAGCTACGATGCTAACGCACAAACTACTCAACCTATAAAACAGGTGCTGCAGTAAAAATACCCCCAGTTCAACGTGTTTGCCATCGCACATTACGGAATATTGCTTCAAATGGTTTCATAAGCAGTGTGAGATGACTTTAGCCTCGTGACACAGGGCATTATCATGGTGGAAGTAGTCATTAGAAGACAGTAAATTGTGGCCATAAAAGGATGCATATGCTCAGCAAACAATACTCAGACAGGATGTAGCATTCAAATGATGATTGCCTGGTATTAAGGGCCTGTGAATCCGCCAAAAAAAAAAACATATCGTCCACACTATTACCACACCAGCCTGGACTGTTGACACAAGGCAGGTTATAATGAATTCATGTCTCTGATGCCACATTGTGACTGAGATCCAGCTTTGGTGTCCATCGTGGCCTCAGATTACTTTTCATTGCTGAAAGAAATTGAGCCTGATGTGGTCTCCTGCTGTTGTAGCCCCTTCGCCTCAAGGTTTGACAGGTTGTTCATCGTGAGTAAAGAGTGGTTATCTGAGTTACCCCATTCTTTCAGCTCAAATCAGCCTCCTCTGAGTTTTTGCACCCATGGATCTGCAGCTCACTGGATGTCATACAACTAAACAGTTTCAATGATACATCAATCATACCAATGAAATCACATTCTTTTCCCTATTCTGATGTTTAATGGGAACAACATTGCTCAGTCCTCATATCAACTGAATCGCTTGCGCTGCATTTGCATGATATTATGCATCGCACTGCTGCCACCTGATTGGCTGATTGGATAATTGCATGAAACAGGTCTGATACATTCATCATTGTAGGAGCACATTGGGTAAACGTGTGCTTCTCTGTGGCGTCTTGATCACATGTAGCTTTGAACACACGTGTACACATACATGTGGAATGACAGTCTTTACCTGAGAGTGACGCGAGTGGACAGGTCTTGCAGGTCTCCTGGATGAAACAGCTGTGACTCGTTCAGTCCCAGTTTCCCACAGGCCTTGAGGAACACGTTCACATTGTCCTGGAGATTCAATAAACAGAATCGCCAAAAGTTAAAGAAATAAGAGCATGAAAAGAAGTCGGTGATGATGTTGATTTGGATCAATTAACCTCTTCGAGTTTGGAAAATGCTGCCAACAAACCTTTTGGCAAAAGCACCAACAATAAGAACTTGTTCTCAGATGCATTTCCTCTAGAATTGGAGCCCATTTTATCAATTAATCAAAAAATCATGACAGTTTTGTACATGAAAGGAAACCAAGTCTTCTCTCATATTTAGCAAAACTGAATTTCAATGTAACGAATGCCATATGTACCTAGATTACAATAATTTTTGATCAAATGTTTTTGTAGACATTTGACCTTTTAACAGAGGTTTATAAACATGTTTATACAAATCCTCTCACCGTGACCATTACCTGAAATGACAAATGTCAATGCATTACATTTCATCAGCTTTGGCCTATAAACAAACTATGGAAGTTATCTGAACTTGGCTGTTGTCTGGAAACATTAAACTCACTTTGCTTGGTGCTGCATATAATTTAATGCTTAGAGAGACTTTGTCCGAAAGAGGAACACCAGTCTGCCTTCTGCAGTTAGCAGCAGGCTAGCATGAACAACTCGAGACTTCCCTTCCACGGCATCGGAGCCTGATGGCTGTCAAAGTTACTGGAAATTCTCTGCTGCACCTCAAGCAACATCACCAACGTCTAAGGATCCACTATCAGGCTCCGTCCAATCACTGGCACCTGATGGATGGTTTGAATTGATCTTTTTCTGCTCTTGCTTTGGGCAGTTATGGCAATTATACTTGTATGAAGCCATCAGAATGCAGCCTGAAGGGGGAAAAAATCTGCATGTGCATTCATGCCTGATAAAAAACATGTTCAGCATTTAGTGGCCCTCGATTCTGGATCATTTGATTTGTAGCACAACCGTGTCTCTGCCTTTGACAGGAAACCACACACTGTGTGAAACTTCCTGGCCAGCTGGTGTCTTTTTTCTTCTTTTGTTCTTATAACCAATAAACACAGATTTTAAAAACATTATTTACATCTCCCAGGTAAATTACAACTGTGTACCTGACTCAATTATTAACAGATCTTTTACACTGTTCGACACATTAAGCAAGAAAACAACCCTTCTTCCACATAGCCAAGATGAGACACACACACGACTTCCTGGAGACTTACACTGACCTCAAGCATAGTTACTTGTCTAACCTTAGCCTTAACCTACGATTAACCAATGAACCTAACCTTAAAAAGATGTCTACATGATTCAAAATATGTGAACTGGCTTTTTGACCCAATAAGGAAGACAAGTCCACATGATGTGAAAAATGTAGGTCCCTACTACATGAGTGATACACACAAAAACAGACTGTTCAACACTCACCAGGCCAGCGATGGGAGTAGACAGCCTGTTTACTCTTTTAATGATGCCAGGTTTCAACTTGTTGATCAAACTAGGAGACAAAACGATACAGTAAACAGTTTAAAACATTTCAGTGCAGCACATGTTTGAAAATCACAACAATAATATCAGACTAAATAGATTGGGGCTTAATAATCTTGAATAACTTCCAATAAGGAAATTGCATAATGAATAGAAATGTAACAATGAAAAGGTTAATTGGTTTATAAACCAGATAGATTTCATCTTAGAGTCAAGAGCTTTAAGCACATTTTTAATTGTCATTTCACATTATTTCAACTTAATTATTGGAATACGCCTTTACAGGTTTGTTTAGAGAAGCTGATTACCACTTTTCAAAACTGTAACAGTGCTGCTGCTGAAGCTAAACTTTAAATTAGCTTGACTCTACCACAACCAAAGGTTTACATGGTAATTTAGCCTGACTGTTCATAAACTACATCCAAGTAAGAGCATCAATACTCACTCGCAAAGCAGGACTCCATTCTCCAAGGCAGCACGAAAGTCACTGCAACCAAACAACTTTCCAGTCACCTCCTAAAGAAACCACAGCTTATTGAGGATTGTCCACTACATTTCATTTTTACCCACCATAAACATGTGTTCAGGTTTGTTTGGCTTAGTTCTCTAAGGAGGAACTACGTCCAGTTTCCAAGAGCGTCCATGTATTTAGCATTGCCTCCAATGGTTGAAACAATCCAAAAAATATATTTTGTACTCGTTATAAGAGTAAAACTAATTTATTGTGAAGTTTACTGGTTAAAATCAGATGTTCACAATATGTCTGCGAAGCAAGAAGTCATAATTTATTTAGACAAGCATCCCCCCCATCCAACTTTGTTGTTGAAAATAAAGAATCAACCCAACCTTGATGATTTCTCACATCTGCAGTAAACACAAGGCAAGAGGGCTTTTTGTAATGAGGACATAAAAATGGGGCTATTAAGGTTCAGCTCCATAACCAACCAAAGGCCCCAAAAGACTATTCTTCTCACTAATTAGTCCCCCCAGGAATCTACAATCACAATTCATTTCTGGTGGAACTGGGCAGCAGGCACGGAGCGGAAACTTTCCAGTGGAATCAGACAAACAAAGCAGTGCGAGACAAACGAAAAAACAAACAAACAAAAAAAACTTGTGTGGTCAAGATGCTGTGTTCCGCAAACTCGAATTGGTCATTTCAATAAACAATTGCACAGAAGAAACCACCGATTAAACAGACTTCAATGAGTTGCTTTTGTCACTTGCAAACTTCTCACTTTCTCAAATCCAAGAGGATAAAAACGTGCCATTAAAATATATATGTGTTAAAATATAAATGCACCATTACTAAATCTGTGTGATTCACTTCTAAGACGTCGCTCATGCAATCATGTTCAATCTAGAGCTGCCACGATACGATGATTAATTGATTAATCAACTGAGAAATTGTTTTCATATATGCCAAATATCTGCAAACATGAAGATGTGAAGCTTTTTAGCATCAGGCACGAAAAGTGAATCAAACTTCTTCGGTTTTTAGCACGTTCACCTCTTCCAAGGAGGTCGTATTCACCCTTGTGACTTTGTTTTTGAAGCAAGATTACAAAAAAAATGACTATACAACTTTCCACTGGGAGAACCCATTAAATGTTGGTGCAGATCCTGATCAGGGGCCACTTGCAACATGTTTTTTTCCACATTTACACTGTTATCCAAGGGAGTAGTTAGTGTATATTGATTTCTTTATTCAGACAAAAAGATTAACTGAAGAGAACCAGCAGATTAATAGCTATTGAGAATGATAGTTGGTTGTAGCCATATTTAAACTAAAAGAACATTGGTTAAGATGGAGATTTGTAATGCTGTGGGTTTCACCAGAAACTAAATGACCCGTTTAAATAATGTGGAAGAGGCAGATCCAGTCCAGTGGGAGCTGAACAAACATGTGTAATGGCTGCATGTACTGTGCTGAAGATAAACTGCAATATTTTTTGGACACAGAAGCTTATTATACTCCAATCAGTAACACTGAATATTAGAGCACACACATTGACACCATTTAGCATTTCCTTAAAAGCAGCATGCCCTGCTTTTCTCCTCACTAACACACACAAGAGCACACACATGCACACAGCCACACAATTCATCAGTGCAGGGAAGTCGTCGGGTAAAATTGGTATGGGCTTACTGCCAACAGAGCCCGGGATAGAATTCTCACAATGATCCACTCATAAGATGGACGTTAATGGTCCCCATTAAGAAGTGGTCAACACTCACTGTGCCCATCTTTTACAAGTTGTATTCATTTGTTATGATTGGAGGATTACAACTCCTGCAGCGTTTGGACAGGAGCAGCCGCCAACTACCGAGGAAACGCATCACTACAAAACCACATCCTCCACAATAAACACGACATAACCTGCTTGTCACACAGCAACAGCTGGTGTGCAAAGAGCAGCAGACAGATCATAGCATCCGCAGCTCAGCAGACAGGCAGTTAAGAAAAACACAATGTGAGTTCTGTATGTTAAATGACTGTGTCAAACTGTTTTAATCATCTGTTCTTTGTCCCTCAAAGGTTCTGAGTCATAAAGTCAAATCAAGTTTATCTGGACGGCCACAGAGGATTCTGTGTGTCAGGAGCTTCTCTTACCTGAGGCTTATCCAGGTGGAATTTGCATTTTAGCCAAAGAGACTGTCAAGGTGCCTCAGTTTAGTTTTCTGTGTTGAGTTAAGTCTTTACAAATATGAGCATCAACAGGTTCAAAGTTAAATTCCTAATGATACAAACCTTAAACAAGTTATTGTTCATGGCTGAAAGTATTATGGCTATGATGAAACTCCTTCCATCTCCACAAAGGGGTTAAACATCCTTTAATCCTCAGATTTACTAATACCATTCATCCTTGGTGTCAATTTCACTCTAGCAATTTAAAAGACCAGCAAATTATTATCATCTTTGTTTCACATGAGACTTTGTTGACTCCCCATCCTGATAGGTACCTTACGATACCTATGTGATCATAGACAGATGAAAATTGACTCAGCAATTAATAGCAAACTGGAAAAAGGCCTGGAACCTTATCGATTTGCAGCACCAAGTCTACATACACCCTGTCATTCAATAGAATATTTACATTTTAAATACACATTGCTAATAGAAATGGAATTATTAGAAGCATGTTTTTATCCCATTTTAATTGACTTTTATTTCTTCCTGATATATTGTACTATAAAAAAAGGTTTGTATTGTTGTAATGGTTAGTAAAAGCTTTCAAAGTCTTTTCATAGCATCTCAGTTTCCTAATTCTTTTTAAATCTATTGCTGACTTTAAACTGCACTAACATGTATGGAAGTTACAAATACATTTGATGAATTGGTTCATAATAGGAGGGTTGAACATATAATGCCATCAGTTGTTTGCACAGGATTAACAAACACGTCTCAGACTGTGCAAAACAACCAGAAGAAAACAGAGAGAAACAAAAGAAGCCATGAACCTGGATCCAGCGCTGGGCCTCCTTGAACGCGTGTGCACAGCTGACACTGGTCTGCTGACGCCACTCCATCTCTGTCCTCTGCACAGGCTCAGCTCTGGTGATAGTTAGTGTCGTTAATCACGAGGCCCCGCACAGAGAGACACGAGAACCAAAGGACAACAAGCTGAATCCACGTTAAAGTGCGAGAGTCCTCGTGTTCACTCACCTGCTGCTCCACTGACGACACGTCTCCACTGATTGACTTGGACTCAGAGCTTCATCGCTGCTGCTCTCATCACTCACCAGCTCTGTCCGTGCGCTCATTGGCTGAAAGCAAGTGGGATGGAAAGTTTCCGCCCACTTCAGAACTACAGACAAACTTTTTTTTTTTAGAGCCAAGAGGGGTTCATCATATTCATCGACCCTCTGCTGCCTCTATTGGTGCACCTCGCCACTGTGGTCCAGAGGAGCAAGAGTCAGAAGACTGTGCACAGGCCTGCAGTCAGGGTTTCAGAGGGGTAGTTCACTGACAAATGAAAATTCATTCATTATCTTCTCACCACTATGCCGATGGAGGGGTGGGTGAAGTGTTTGAGTCCATGAAACACTTCTGGAGTTTCAGGGGTAAACAGTGTTGCAGCCAGATCCAATAGAACTGAAGGAACTGGTGACCTCGTCTTTAAACCTATAAGCACAGCATGCCTCCATGCTGCTCCTGTGGTGTCATCCACTTACTCTTTTTTTGTCGTTTTGTGTTTGCATCTGAAAAGACAAAAAGTCCACAGCCTGAGGTTTGTTGAACATTCAGCAGCTCATTACTGACTTAACATTCTCTCATTTGGTTTTTTTTTAGGTGTCTGATCCGACAGGAACTTTTATGACTTTTGAAATATAAAAAGCCTCCTGTCACACATTAACTTGAGGGCATTACAAATGCAAATATGCGAAATGAAATGTTTGCATAGGCTCAAGAAACAGAAGAAATAGCAGCAGCAGTGTGATAACATGCAAAATGTGACAGTGTGTTTCAAGGGCATGTTTCAAGACTCACTTGCCTTTTATATTGAAGTGATGAAAGATGGCAATTCAATTTTTACACATGAAATGCATATAAGCATTAAAAAAAAAAAAAATGTCTTTGCACATTTGAAAGGAAAGCAATACGATAGTCTGCTGGGCATGAACCTCATCTTGTATTACAGCACGTGCTCAGTCCAAACCAATTTCCTGCGAAATGCCCTGGGAGGTGCGGTGTGGGGGGAACCAGGGCCGAGATGGAATCACAGCATTTCAAAGTAAAATGAGGTGCAGAGGTGTGGGCCGCAGAAAATTTTTAATGAGCGGCCCATTAACAGCACAAAGAGCATTGTGTGAATCAATAATCTTTATAGACCTTCTACTTATTAGCCAAACTGGGGAAATTAAAAGATAATTTCTTGCACTTTTACGATTATTATTACTCCAACACAACAAAGGGGATTGTCTTTTTTCCTCCTTCAGTCCCACATCCTCTGGTCCACAGGGCCGTTGGTGTTCTTTTCTTTTTGAAACAGTGACATTCACTTCTGGAAACAAAATATAAGAAGCAGTAGATATTGACATTTGCAGAATATTTCCATTGTTCCAATTCTGACACTTGATAATTCACCGTGGTACAAAAGCTTCCATTCAGTTGTTTTTTGTGCTTGTTGATTGTTGGGAATGACGACATGTTGGGTGTGTATGTGAGACCACGACCACAGGTCTGTCCTCTGTGATGGTCGGACACGCCGCTCCATAGAAACAGGACTCCACCACCACTACACATATGATGCTAATTGACCTTGAAAGTGATGCACTTGAGGAAACAAGCTGATGCTCATCAGCTTCATCACAGACATGAAGGTTTGACAGATTGATAGATAGATAGACAGACAGATAGACAGATGGACAGATGGATGGACGGACAGATAGATAGATAGATAGACAGACGGACAGAGAGACGGATTGATAGATAGATAGATAGATAGATAGATAGATAGATAGATAGACAGATGGACAGATGGACAGATAGATAGATAGATAGAAAGATAGACAGACAGAGACAGACAGACAGACAGACAGACAGACAGACAGACAGACAGACAGATAGACACATAGACAGATGGACAGATGGATGGATGGATGGACGGACAGATAGATAGATAGATAGATAGATAAACAGACAGACAGACAGATAGATACATAGATACATAGATAGACAGATGGACAGATGGATGGATGGACGGACGGACAGATAGATAGATAGATAGATAGATTAAGATATTGAGATAGGCCGTTTGTTGAAAACAATCAGACATGTTTAGGGGACTGATATTTATGAGTGTGTGGTGCAGATCCAAATGAAACTCCAGATCTTGTGAATTTAAATGTGGTTTCACAAGGGGACAGTCGGGCCTTTGCACTTAACTGAGTGCCAGTCTAGTTTAGGTATTTCATTCACTATGCACAATATCTCTATCGTCTGCCATTTCATTCTTCAGCCATCAAACTTTACACTGTCTTATCTCACAGAGGGGATGAGCAGTAACAAAAGGGGAACGTCACACAAACAGTTCAGAGATGGAACGCATTTCATTTTTGAGGCTAGTTTTCCTATGCATACATCACAGAGCTGAAGAAATAATGCATTGCATGTATTTATGACCACCAGTAGGTGCTGCTGTAACTCTGCTTGTGCATGCCTCATTCTGGAGGTGGAGGGTTAATGGCTTTGAGTCGGCTGGGTCAGGAGATGCTGGACAAACACAACAATCTGATTTTCTGTTTCCCATATTTTCTCTTTTTGTTGTTCCTCTGGGTATTTTAACCACACTCACAGCCACAACATTTTATGACCACTTGTGCCTAGATGTCTCTGTGTTTTCAATGCATAGATGTAACATGCATGCTCTACAATACAAAGATATTTTGTGGAGATATTTTCAAAACATCATTATTGGGTTTTGATAGCTTTAAAGCTTTTCTTAAGTCAAAATATTTAAATATACAGCACTTTATACTGCACAGCCTATATATGTTCCAGTTAGTCCTCTACAGAACAATAAAGAAGATATAGACAGAACCAACATCACTTTATAAACATTTTTGCATTCGCTTTTTTCTTGTGAAAAGTGTTGCATTCAATTTAATGCACAGTCTCACTTTACACCACACATGGCTCGTGACATCAACCTGATATGCCTGTCTGCATTGCCAAAGTACTTTCTGTACTGTAATATATGAGATATTTTACACAATGAGTGAGAGCCGCTGTAGTAATGTTATACTTAGTGCAGAGACTGCATTAGTGAATCATTCGGGTCATGGTGCTCAAATTCTGAGATCATTAGCTGGAGGGTTTGCCTGCAGTGCTCCTCTGTGAAAATGCAAATGTCTCCCCTTGCACTACTGATGTAGCTGTGGCCATTGTTAACATATTGTAAACAGAAAAACATGCATATTAAAACAAAGAAATTAGCTTATTGATGTCCATTTATTTCTTGTAGTTTGTTTTCTCTCATCAGGTTAAATACAAGATACAAGTGAGTACATGCACTCGACCTATCCACCATTAGGAGTGCATGCTGAAAGATCTTCTACTCCAAACAGCATGATTTTATGACTAAATCATTAGAGCAGATATGAACTTAACTTACAGTAACAATGAGTAAATATAAAAGCGTCTGGCATTGAGTGGACTATAAAAGGTGAAAACTGAAACCATTCACCGCAGCAACACATCAAGCTCATCAGCTTTTGGAAACTGTCATTGTGCTGTTTTCCTTGGACAGAAAATATATTCAAGGTTTTTAAACCAACACAACAGGTTTCACCTTTTGGCGGCTTTGTGGCTACACCAAGTAGGCAATTCTCAAAAGAAAGCAAATGCTACCATATGTTATAGACACAACAGAAGAATCCCCTTTTTATTAAACTTTATTTCAGAACATTTTCTAGGAAGTTGAATCGCTCCGCTCGCTACAGTTTAGGTGAGCTGCTTCACCTCCTCTGCCCTCTCCCTCCCAGTGCCCGGTGTTCATTGTCGCCGCCAAGGTCTGAAATATTATCACAACAGGATGTGGGCTGGGATAACACCGAGAGTGCTTCCTCTGCAATGTCTGCCACCTGGGAGACTCTTCAATTATCACTAAAATTTGATGTAACTTCTGAGACTGAGCTGAGCTGCAACTCAAAAGAACCAAAGAGGGGGAGCAACATGGGCATTAGACTAGAGGGAAAAGCTGAATTGATCTTGTTTTGTCTTTCTGATTGCCTGTAAAGTGGTTTTGCAGTCGTGTCTTCTAATATGCATGGAACAGTACTTTCAGCTAATGCATCAAAATATCATAAACTGCAGTTGAGTCCAATCAGCTATACCCTCATGCAGCAGCTGCTATATATTGCTGTCCAAGGGCCTTTTTGCTATTCATAGCACCACAATTATTACAGGGCAGTTTGGATATATAACCTCAGGCAAAGTTTCCATGCAAACAATTGAGAAAATATAAAATACAAGCTGACTGCAGTCAACATCAACCGAACAGCACATTCCAACTTGTCAACTGGCCATATGGGAGGGAACACTATTATCCAAATAGAAGTTTATGACTCAAAAGCAAATTAAACTTTCTATGTTATGTCTGTTCATAATGAGATAATGTACTCCTATCTCCAGAAACAGCAAAATCCACCCATTTAAATGAGCTATTTTGTGATCCTTGAACCAACACACATTCGTTTTGGGAGGTGTTCACCTGAAAATACTTTGTGGAAATACCAAGTGTGGGATTTTAGTTTAGATGAATTCCACCTTGATGATTTAGGGGAAGTGAAAGTCTCATGACTCATAACCTCTTTAGACAAATCTGTTTTAAATTTGTTCAATGTCATCTAGCCATCCGGTAACATTTTTTTTTTAATGATGGTGAATAAAACTACAGACCAGAGATCAGAAAATAAAAAAAGATGATTGAAAAATTAGTGTCTTAAAATTAAAAAATATTCTATGGGTTCCCTAGTGAACTGTAGGTTAATATATTCACATAGTATAATTAGGTTGATACTATACATTTCTATGAAATTTTGTAAAAATGAAAAATGGTTTCTTATTTATGAAAATGTGTGTGTTACTTGTTTCCTGACCAAAGACGCTATTTCTTTTCTTTTTATAACTTTTGTCCTTTTGTTGTCTATTTATGTTTCATATCTTCGGTTTAGTTTATTATTCACTCTATGTTTCGATAACTTGACGTTTGCATTGGCCAGTTTTGAAATCTCAATAAAGTTTTAAATAAAAAAAAACGTCAGGTCCTGACGGTTTT